TGTTAAACACACACACACATAACATCTCATCGGCGTGGAATTGAACGAGGAGTAATCCATCGAACATCTTTGGATGCAACGTTTTGCCAATCCGGCCATATTACCGTCTCGTGCAACGAGTCACTCAATCGGTGAGCCATAAGCGTGCCAACGAGACGAAACGTGTGATGGAATCGCTTGCCGTGCGCACGCCGAGACTCCAATCCGACCCACGGCCTCCACGTTGACGCCACGGGAGATTCCAGCAGCCTGTCCGGCTAAATATACACGCGCGATGAGCTCATGCGCATCACGTGACCGACCCCCTCCATCACCACCACCACCATGCCCACCAGAGGCATCTAGCAGCACTCGTTCACTCACTCTGCGCTGCTCTATTCCAGATGGCGCGTCCAGATGATGGTGCGACTGCACGGCGCGCCGAGCTCTGCCTCGACACACACCCCCCTCACTCCACTCCACTGCATGCAGCATTCATCTTTTGTTTCGAGGTCTTTGTGAATAAGAGACCGTTTCCCGCAATGCCACTTTTTATAACACCGTCACCTCTTAAGGCCACGGTGTTACTGACACGTTGTGTTGAGTGAGGCACTCCAACCTCTGCCACGATGGGACTTGACGTTGGGAGCCATGGGGTGAGTGAAGATCGCTCTCCAGGCCCTGCGTCTGCCCACTGCACGGCTTTGGCTGCCAGTTGACTTCGTGTTCGCTTAAGGTCCGAAAGTTCAACCTCTAAGGCCTACACTGAACTTCTCAGACGTTCTTCCTTGACGTCACCGGTGGAAATCATTGACCGCGTCAGAGCATCACCAGGCCGACGTGTGACATCTCCTTCACGGGAAATGAAAGGCACGGGTCGCAGTCGTGCGAATGTGGTCATGCAACACAAACTATGGGCCACAAGAGTGAACCGATAGAGGCACACAGGGATACTCGTGGAGATACACAGAGACCCATAGAGATACACAGAGACCCATGGGAGATACATATAGAGATGCATTAAAGACAAGCCACAGTCGTGCAATTTGGTAATGCAACCCAAACTATGGGCCACAAGAGTGAACCGATAAAGGCACATGGAGATACTCGTGGAGATACACAAATACCCATAGAGATACACAGAAACCCATCGAGATACACAGAGACCCATGGGAGATATACATATAAAGAGATGCATTAAAGACAAGCCACAGTCGTGCAATTTGGTAATGCAACCCAAACTATGGGCCACAAGAGTGAACAGATAGAGGCACATGGAGATACTCGTGATGATACACAGAGACCCATAGAGATACACAGAGACCCATCGAGATACACAGAGACCCATGGGAGATATATATAAAGAGATGCATTAAAGACAAGCCACAGTCGTGGGATTGTGGCCATGCAACACAAACTATGGGCCGTGGAGTGAACCTCTGTAGTCTACGCTCCTTTAACAAAAGAGGGACAACAACAAAATGTAACCCGTAAAAACAAAGTTTTTCACTATAAATCCTTTATATGCGTGGCATCGGTTTTATTTTATTATTCATTTCTGTTTTTCTTGAGTAAGAGTTTCATTTTTATCACATTGGTATTTGAAATGAAATATTTAAAAAAAATCCTAAAAAGTGCAAAATTTTGGAATTTTTTTTTCACGAAAATAAATTGTCACGCACAACGAGTCTGTGTGCAAAATGTCAGCTCGATTGGATCACGGGAAGTGGGTTAAAACACGACCGAAAGATTTGCACGGTCGTAAGCGCGCAAGCAAGTGAACTTAATATAAAGGATTTAAAAACACAAGAACTCTCTCCCGAAGCCCTCTCCTCGTGGCCAGCAGACCTCGACATTGCCATTTAGCTCCTGAACGTGTTGCTGCGCGGGAATAGAATTTCGAACTCCTCTTACGGAACGCGAAATTAACATTTATGGCCCTTAAACGTTAAGCACGTGATGCTTTATAGGGACCCGCGACAAATGTGCCTCGAGTGATCCGGTGTGAAAGCACCCCCTTCCAGGGTGAGACCGCACTTCTGTTATAAAACCCCGGCGTTCCGTTTGTCCGTTTATCCGTCAACTAAATTATAATAGCCTTTCAGAAGGCCTGAATAAAAAAGTTATAGAAAGTGGAACCCTATCGCCCTCCCCCCACCCCCCCCCCCCCAGATGTGGGGGTAAAAAGTTGATCCAACAGGTTTCCAAAAATGTACCCCCCCCCCAAAATGTTTCACCTCGCTCCCGCTCAAATTTTTTTTTATTTGGTAGGCATATATGCCTACACACCCGACATACCATAGAGTCAGTAGTATCTGCACACATGGGGGGTGGGGGCGGGGGAGAAGAGGACATCAGTGGGGGCGACGGGGGAGGCGCCAAGCGCCGTGGAAGCCCTCCGGAGGAGCTGGGCCATCGAAATTCTAGTTTAGTAAATTGTACTTGAAAGCCAGGAGTAATAATATCCATTTGTACGGGGATTGAGTGTTGCCCCCTCGCGCAAAACCCCATGTCGCGGACAGCTCCGCTATTCTCCTCCACTGGTATAATACACACTGATCATTAAAAGAGCTGAACATTTCCTTCATAATAAAAAAACCCAACCCTACTGAAAAAAGCCAGACGGCTCCGTGTCGCATTTCTAGATAATGTAAATAAGTTAATTACAATAATGATGATCATTTAACAATTAGGATTTCGCGACCAATATCCATAATAGACGGTTTTTTTGGGGGGAAATGGGAGGGGGTGTTATGCGATCTAACCGAAAAAACCTCTATTATGGATAATTATGATAATGATGGAGGCCCTGGCGATGAGCGACCTGTTGCACCACATGGGAGCGGACGCGTGGCTCTCGCCATCTCTCTCTCTCTCTCCAGCGCGCGGCGGTATTTTTACTCTCAACTCCCAGGTGCGACTCGCTCAACGGGGATGTGGCGGGGGAGAGCAGGCCACGATTAACAGTGCGCAGTGCTGGGGAGATCCGCGTCGACGTGGATCTCAGTCTGACCACACAGCATCGCCACCGTTGTCAAATTGCCACAACATGGTACCTGATTTATTGACCACCCCACCCACCATCCACCACCGCGCCAGACGCACGAAAGACGAAGTCCACCCCCAGACCTGGCCCCTTTATATGTTTCGATTGTGAGCTCTAACCACAGCGATTGCGAGCTCTGAACACAGCCAACTGCGAGTTGGTCGATACAGAAACAACGTCGCATATCCGCCTGCAACGTATCCGTCCCGACCAATAAAACCGCTCACACCCAGTGCGGCACTTAAACGAGGTGTAGCCGCATGGCCTCGACAGATGTCCACACATCTTGGTCGCACGCACGCACGGACGCGCACATCGACGCGGTGATGATCTCAAGCACGTCCGCTCGCTTCTAAAGCTCCAGCGTGGCGTTTCGCACGCGAACAGAGCTCGTTCTCGTCCAGTAAGCCCGCAAACGTGTGCGCGGCGCGCCTGCCGTGTTCCACGACTGTTCACATGTCCGGAGCCTTTGCGCCAGCAGAGAGCCCTGGTGCATCAGCCGGCCCCGATCGAGTCGGAACAGACGACGCTGCCTCGCGCTCATGCTGCGATCAGAGTGTCGGATGGGCGGCTGACCGCGGGCCACGCGTCGTGAATAAACGCAGCGACATTACGGCCGAGGACACCGCTGAGAAGGTTCGCCCGTCCTCTTGCTCATCGGCAGGGCAGAGCTGCCGTAACCCCCTCTGGCAGCCAGGCGGGGCTGCCGGAAGGTTTATTCCCCGAAAGGCCGTGTCGCTGATGGGTTTTGCGAAACAAAACATTGTGCACGTTGTATGTGAAGGGACAGACGCGTGAAGGAGGCTAATCGTCTGCCTATTCATGTTAGGATTTGTTTAAAGTTTGTTTAACATTAACTGTTTCTAGATTTGAAGCTTTCGTGACTGCAAGGATTCATATTCTTGGGTTTTTTCGGTAAAGTCACGTAGGTAAAAAATTTAAATTAATAAAAGTAAAATAAAATAAAAATCACGACGTTTCGGAGGCAACACAAGCTTCCGTCTTCAGGTGGAACCGTCACAGCCACGACAGCTGTATCAAGTAAATGAGAGATTACAAGAGCTACCACTCCGTATATATAATGGTTGAAGAGGGGAAGGACCAAGTACGGCACACTTTTTATTAATATGGTAAGGTGAGGCTTAAGAATAGACTGCATAACAAAAGGCTGAGCCTTTGTTATGGAGAGGTACGGTTTGTGACTTTATTTTATTTTACTTTTATTAATTTTAATTTACCTACGTGACTTTACCGAAAAAACCTAAGAATATTAACTGTTTCGTCTCCCCCCCCACGCCCACTCATGTAAACATGGTTACACTCGCGGCTTGTTTGCTCATCAATAATTTGATATTTTAGGCCAGAATCCGGTGGAGTGTGCAAACAATTCGGGCCATCACCATCACCACCATCATCATCAGCATCATGACCACCATCGCCATCACCGCCACCGCACGCACGGACCGCACATCCTGAATAGTGCAGGGCGATTGCCTCGGCCGTGTTCGCATCACGGCCGTGTTCGCGTGATCAAGGTCAGGCCGAGCAGACGAAGCGACCCCATTCACGAACACCCTGAGACGTAACGGGTGAGTCGGTGGATGTAGAGACGACTAAACGAATGAACGACTCGAGGCATTCATGACTGAACGGTTGATGAATACATTTAACAAAAACAACTGATATACATATGAACGACTACACTAATGGACAGTGATGGCGAGTGAAGGAATGCATTAACGCGTACAACTAATGCGTACGTGAGTGAATGAATGAATGAACGAACGCAGCATACGGTGTTACGGGCAAGGCACAACTGTGTGCAGCCAGGGGAGGTCTGTCTGCGAGTGACGCAACGCATGTCCTCATTGACTCCGCGTAGATGTGTGATGGCATCATCGACACCATCAGAATTATTACCACCAGCACCACCTTCACCAGCAGCAGCAGCAGCAGCCGCAGCGAGCGCTCTTACCACCGAATATCCTGGGGCTGAGGTGCAAGGGCAGCGAGCGAGAGAGCGAGGCGCCCTCGTCCCTCCTCGCCGACCCGCGGCTCCCCGCGCGCCGTCCCGCACGCCCAGACCCCCCCGCGTCTTCGTGCTGCGCGGACCCCGACGCTCCCGTGTCCCCGTGTCCATGCGCGTTCCCATGCCCGTGGGCCCCGGGGCTCGCTCCGGCTCCCTGCCGCCCGTTGGCACCGCCGCTTGCTGCCAACGACGCCGTCCGCCCGGGGATGGGGATGGACGCGTTGCGCCTGACGTCGGGAGCGCTGCCCGTGCCGCCGGATCGAGTCCTCGCCGACGCGTGCAGGAGCAGCTGCTGCTGCCCGGGTCCCTGGCTGCGCGCTAGCCCCGGGCTGTGCGGCCCCAGCACGGCTCGCCCCAGCGCCAGCCCCGCGTGCGGTGGTGCCGGCGGCGGTGGCGGCGGCGGCTGCAGCTGCTGCTGATGGTGGTGGTGATGGTGATGATGATGCGGCTGGTGGTGGTGTTGGTGTGGCTGGTGGGGGTGATGGAGAGGATGGGGCTGGTGGCCCGAGACCCCCGCAATCCCTGGCCCCGAGGCGGTCCGGGCTCGCCCGTCAGAGCTCGGCTTCAGCCCCATGCCGCGGACAGCGAGCGGCGTGGCCGACGGGACGTCCCATCACCGCGCTCGAGTCATCGACGCGCCCGCAGCCATCAACCTCGGAGCGCAGGGGCGACGTTCCGGCCCCGGCCCGCTCTTCCGCACGCAGCTCGCAGAAGACACACGGGAGGAGGAGGAGGGGGACGGAGGGAGGGAGGGGAGGGAGGCGAGCCGCGGCCCCGGGAGTGCCGGGCGCGCCGCGTCTCCGCGCCGCACAAATAGGGACGGTGCTTCAGTGACGTCACTGGCGGTGGTGCTGAGCGGGGCGCTGAGTGCGGGGAAACTCCCCGCGCGGTCACGAGGAGGGGGGTGGGTGGGGGGTCGTCACTGCGGCGCGTCGGGCGTGATGCGCTCGTTCGTTCGCTGGCTGCTCGTGATGTGGTGTGCCGGGGGTGGGGGGGTGCTCGGTGCGGGTCGTCACTGCGGCGTGCCGGGCGTGATGCGCTCGCTCGCTGGCTGGCTATCCGTGATGTGGTGTGCCGGGAGGGGGGGGGGGGGGGCTTCTGCTGCAGAGGCGAGCGTGGTACTTATATACTTGATTTTTTTTGTATAACTGTGTTTATAGTGGCGTGCTTGTCTTTCCTAACACTTTGCACTGCAATCGGTTGTTTGTATCGTCTGTTGTTCTAACTTGCTGTTTGTTACCCGTTGCCCCTAGTGGACATCTGTCGAAATCAATGAGCTTCGTAGCTCATCGGATTCCTTCTCCTCCAACTCTCAATAAAGATTCAGATTCTGAGCGGGAGCTTCTGCTCCTACTGCTGCTGCCACGGGTGGTGAACATCCCGGGACGGAAGCACGCCGAGCCGAGCCGGGGAGCTGTCCAGCCGCACGTCGAACTCCAATGTCGGCGCACTCGACCAAGGAGGGACCCCCCCCCCCACCCCGAGTCCCCACCGCTCAAACCACACCGCGTGTGCTCGTCTTTGCCACGTCTGCGCCTCCATCTGACGACCTTTTCAACCTGTCCCGCATTAGCCGATTTCTCACCGCACAATTCCTGGCCCAAGCCATTTAATGATGTGATGTCTGACTCCCTTGTAGTCTTGTTGTTCCTCCTCCTATGTTGAAGGAGCGCGCACTCACTGTGGTTTACTATTATGGTCCATAGTTGGGATTGCCTGGCCACAGTCGGTGGCGAGATGGACGCCACGGTGGCGAGATGTTAACTACCTCGCCTGGTACACAGGAGGTCGTGGGCTCGATTCCCACCCTGAGGCCTGCTGTATATTTGGAGTTTGCATTTCTCTCACACCGTGGTCGCGTGGCTTTATAAACATGCGTTTAGAGCAGTTGGCTGCTATGTATATTTCCACGTGATAATCCACTTCGTTGAGCATTCATTTGTGGCCAAGTCGTTTTTTTTTAAGAGCTATATAGCTCAGTGGGACTTATCTGTTGAAATAAAAAAAATTATGTAGTTCTTTCAGTCGCACTACTGTGGCTTTTCTATAATTTCAAATTCATGTGTGCATCAGTCTGTACATGTTCTTGGCACGGTCGATGGTTCCATCACCAGTGCCTTCAAAAGAGTAATGACAAAGCCAGATGGTGCGATTTTTGGGGGTCTCGAATGAGGTGTTTATTCTGTACGTTCGCGTTGTTCCACTCTGTTCTCCAGCAGCGTTCTTCCGCAACCTGTGAGATTCTAGGATGGCGATAAGCAGCGCGATTCCAGAAGGGACGGTTCGAGATTTAAGTTGGCAGACAGGAGCATTGTTTGAGATTGTGGTTGATGATGGGTAGGTGGCTGTCGTTGACAAGAAAACGTGTTGACCCCCTTGCAGTCTGCAGTCTCATGCGGATATTTGGTGTCAGATTGTTCGCCAGGGAATGGTAATAATAATCCGTTTATGTAGCAATTATCATCAAATATCTCAAAGCGATGTACAGGACACAGCAGCAGCAGCAGCAGACAATCAGCATACACAATAATTATAAATACATTTAAAAAACAATTTACAAACGAACTAAAAGTTTAATAAGCGGAAGCGTATACATAGCTTTTAAGACACTTGTTTTAATGTCCACAGACTCAGAGATCCTGGTATCTCGTGCAAGAGCGTTCCATAGTCTGGGAGCTACACGGGAAACATCTCGGTCACCCTTAGACCGAAGTATCGACCTGAGAATGCAGAGAAGATCTGCATCCCCGCATCTGAGGGACCTTGTGGGGAAATATGGTTGCAGTATGTCATTGATGTCGGCTGGGGCAAGATGGTTCGCTGCTCTGTATGTTAATATGATTTCAAACTGTATGCTACATGTGAAACTGGAAGCCAGGGCAGGCGAGGCCAACACGGGTGTCGATTTCAGTGTTTTGGTTATGACGTGCATCGCGTTATTTAAATTGTGCACCTGGCAAGCACATCACTCCGCAGCCGAGGCACTGCAATGTCAAACCGATCCAGTGTTCTCCATTGCACGTGCCGTGTGTAGCCAACCGTGCTAGGTGGAGGTGCCGGAGGACAACTAAACACATCAGCCGATGCTCCATGTCACGGGCAAATTCAGTTTCATTAATTTGGTATAGCCCTGTGAGCCATTCGGCTCTTGATTCGGGTGCAAGAAACATCTTAACGTGACTATGTGCAAACAGAAAATCCAAAAAAAGACAGCAAAATATTGCAGAAAAAGCACTGTACGCCAACGCTGTGTGAAAAAATCCCAGTGGGATGCAAGTCAAACAACAACAACAACCACAAGACAACTTAGATTAAGGCCATCAGTCCAACTCCGTACTACAACAAACAAACATGGCCAAACCAAAAAACTTTTCGAAATCACCAAAATAAAGCCATTAAAGCCTCCTGTCATAGAACCAATCGTTGCACAGGCTCGCTCGGCGAACGACTGGGAAAGACACAGCTTCAAGATTAAGTTGAGTTGCATGTGTTGCAAGGATGATGAGTCCCTCCAGCCAGTTCCCCGGATTATTTCTACACAGGAGATCCGAGGTTGTGCGTGCGCACAGCAGCAGCAGTAACAGCAAAGACTAAGACCCCAACGCGAACAAATATACGAGTTCAGCAGAGTCATCTTCTTGGTTCTTTCGGTAAAGTCACATAGAAGGGAAATAATAAAATAATAATAAAAAACATTAAATAATTCTCACGACGTTTCGGCCACAACGCAAGCAGCCGTCGTGCGTTGTGGCCGAAACGTCGTGAGAATTATTTAATTATGTTTTATTTTTATTATTTTATTATTTCCCTTCCACGTGACTTTACCGAAAGAACCAAGAAGATGAATTCCTGCAGTCACGAAAGCTTTAAATCGAAATTCAGCAGTCCTTAAGGAATATTCCCACAACTTCCCGAGCGAGGTATATTGACAGCTGAGAGCGAACACTTTCTCCATCCTGGAGGAGCAATCCGATGAGCTGCGAGACTTCTTTTTCACAGATGTCCAGCAAAGGGCTGTTACAGCAACGATGACAACAACAATAACATCTATAGGAGTGCAAAGGTGAGAGAAAGTTCGCGGTTCAAATCCAGCGGCCGCCCTGATTATCACCGCGAGTGCATCAGCCATACAGATGGATATAAATGCGTCGTTAAAGCCTCCACCACCCGACACAGCCAATTAGTAAGGTTTGTCACATAAACAAAACGTGCCAATTCGTTACTCGTACAGCACACCGGTGTGTTGGAGAGTAAACCCACAAATATTTACATTTGTGGGTTCACTCTCCAACACACAAATATGTTCTGTTCACGTGAAAACCCGTACTAATTGGCTGTCGGGTGGTGGCGGGTTTAACGACACATTCATATGTTAGGCGTTCTAACCAGAAAAACCTCGATAATCGATATTGGCCGCGAAAGCTTAACTGCGTGTAAAACTAACCGTGCATTTGTTTTATGTAACGCACGTTACAGACGAAGACGCTATCTATATATACATGCTGTGCATAGAACGCCAATGTAGAATTCCAAATGCTAAATTATTAAAAATAATCAAATCAACAGCGACGAACATTTAGCTATTCTTAGGTTTTTTCGGTAAAGTCACGTTGGTAAAACATTAAAATTAATACGTGACTTTACCGAAAAAACCTAAGAATATGAATCCTTGCAGTCACAAAAGCTTCAAATCTAGAACATTTTGCTGTTTTTTCCTGGATTCATCTGTTTGCGCATAGTCACTTTAAGATGTTTTCTTGTCCATGTTTTTTTGTTGTTGCGGTTACACCCGATTCAACAGCCGAATGGCTCACAGAGCTCTACCAAATACATAGAAATGGAACTGAAACACCATCCACCGACACACACACACACATCCATAACAATGACGTCACTCCCGCAATTCACAACGAGTCGCGATGACGTCATTCGCTCGCCGTCACAGCCCCGCCCCCCGCTGTTGGCGTTCGTGTCCACGCGCCGATGACGTCGAGGCGCGTCTCCCTGGGCAACCACCCGCGGAGTTTCCACCCCCAGACCCCGTTGCCGTGACGACAACGATGGCGGAGCGCGACGCGGAGAGCATGGCCGAGGAGGAGGAGGTCGCGCCGCCTCGCGCCGAATCGCCGCCGCTCGAGGAGCCGCTGGCGCAGCGCGTACGCGGCCTGCAGTGAGTAGCAGCGGGGTGGTAGCGGCTCGCACACAGCGGGACTGCCGACACAGAGAGAGAGAGAGAGGGGAGAGAGAGAGCCCCCCCCCCCCCGCCGCCGCTCAAGGGAAAGACCCCCTAGGGAGAGGGACCCCCAGGGGAGAGGGACCCCCAGGGGAGGGGGGAGAGAGAGGGACCCCCCAAGGGAGAGAGAGAGAGACCCCCCAAGGGAGAGAGAGGGACCCCCCAAGGGAGAGAGAGGGACCCCCCAAGGGAGAGGGACCCCCCAAGGGAGAGAGAGGGACCCCCCAAGGGAGAGAGAGAGACCCCCCAAGGGAGAGGGACCCCCCAAGGGAGAGAGAGGGACCCCCCAAGGGAGAGAGAGGGACCCCCCAAGGGAGAGAGAGGGACCCCCCAAGGGGAGAGAGAGAGACCCCCCAAGGGAGAGAGAGAGACCCCCCAAGGGAGAGAGAGGGACCCCCCAAGAGGAGAGAGAGAGACCCCCCAAGGGAGAGAGAGGGACCCCCCAAGGGAGAGGGACCGCCCAAGGGAGAGAGAGGGACCCCCCAAGGGAGAGAGAGGGACCCCCCAAGGGAGAGAGAGGGACCCCCCAAGGGAGAGAGAGAGACCCCCCAAGGGAGAGAGAGAGACCCCCCCCAAGGGAGAGAGAGACCCCCCCCAAGGGAGAGAGAGAGACCCCCCCAAGGGAGAGAGAGAGACCCCCCCCCCAAGGGAGAGAGAGACCCCCCCCAAGGGAGAGAGAGAGACCCCCCCCAAGGGAGAGAGAGGGACCCCCCCAAGGGAGAGAGAGGGACCCCCCCAAGGGAAAGAGAGAGACCCCCCCAAGGGAGAGAGAGAGACCCCCCCAAGGGAGAGAGAGGGACCCCCCCAAGGGAGAGAGAGAGACCCCCCCAAGGGAGAGAGAGGGACCCCCCAAGGGAGAGAGAGAGACCCCCCCCAAGGGAGAGAGAGAGCCCCCCCAAGGGAGAGAGAGAGACCCCCCAAGGGAGAGAGAGAGACCCCCCCAAGGGAGAGAGAGAGACCCCCCAAGGGAGAGAGAGAGACCCCCCAAGGGAGAGAGAGAGACCCCCCAAGGGAGAGAGAGAGAACCCCCAAGGGAGAGAGAGAGACCCCCCAAGGGAGAGAGAGGGACCCCCCAAGGGAGAGGGACCCCCCAAGGGAGAGAGAGGGACCCCCCAAAGGAGAGAGAGGGACCCCCAAGGGGAGAGAGAGGGACCCCCCAAGGGAGAGAGAGAGACCCCCCAAGGGAGAGAGAGAGACCCCGCAAGGGAGAGAGAGGGACCCCCCAAGGGAGAGAGAGAGACCCCCCAAGGGAGAGAGAGGGACCCCCCAAGGGAGAGAGAGAGACCCCCCAAGGGAGAGAGAGAGACCCCCCAAGGGAGAGAGAGAGACCCCCCAAGGGAGAGAGAGACCCCCCCCAAGGGAGAGAGAGGGACCCCCCAAGGGAGAGGGAGAGACCCCCCAAGGGAGAGAGAGAGACCCCCCAAGGGAGAGAGAGAGACCCCCCAAGGGAGAGAGAGAGACCCCCCAAGGGAGAGAGAGAGACCCCCCAAGGGAGAGAGAGAGACCCCCCCAAGGGAGAGAGAGGGACCCCCCAAGGGAGAGAGAGAGACCCCCCAAGGGAGAGAGAGGGACCCCCCAAGGGAGAGAGAGAGACCCCCAAGGGAGAGAGAGGGACCCCCCAAGGGAGAGGGACCCCCCAAGGGAGAGAGAGGGACCCCCAAGGGAGAGAGAGGGACCCCCCAAGGGAGAGAGAGGGACCCCCCCAAGGGAGAGAGAGAGACCCCCCCAAGGGAGAGAGAGGGACCCCCCAAGGGAGAGAGAGGGACCCCCCTCGGGAGAGAGACCCCCCAAGGGAGAGAGAGGGACCCCCCAAGGGAGAGGGACCCCCCAAGGGAGAGAGAGGGACCCCCAAGGGAGAGAGAGACCCCCCAAGGGAGAGAGAGGGACCCCCCAAGGGAGAGGGACCCCCCAAGGGAGAGAGAGGGACCCCCCAAGGGAGAGGGACCCCCCAAGGGAGAGAGAGGGACCCCCCAAGGGAGAGAGAGGGACCCCCCAAGGGAGAGAGAGGGACCCCCCCCCAAGGGAGAGAGAGACCCCCCCCAAGGGAGAGAGAGAGACCCCCCCAAGGGAGAGAGAGGGACCCCCCCAAGGGAGAGAGAGGGACCCCCCCAAGGGAAAGAGAGAGACCCCCCCAAGGGAGAGAGAGAGACCCCCCAAGGGAGAGAGAGAGACCCCCCAAGGGAGAGAGAGGGACCCCCCCAAGGGAGAGAGAGAGACCCCCCCAAGGGAGAGAGAGGGACCCCCAAGGGAGAGAGAGAGACCCCCCCCAAGGGAGAGAGAGAGACCCCCCAAGGGAGAGAGCGAGACCCCCCCAAGGGAGAGAGAGAGACCCCCCAAGGGAGAGAGAGAGACCCCCCAAGGGAGAGAGAGAGACCCCCCAAGGGAGAGAGAGAGAACCCCCAAGGGAGAGAGAGAGACCCCCCAAGGGAGAGAGAGAGACCCCCCAAGGGAGAGAGAGGGACCCCCCAAGGGAGAGGGACCCCCCCAAGGGAGAGAGAGGGACCCCCCAAGGGAGAGAGAGAGACCCCCCAAGGGAGAGAGAGAGAGACCCCCCCAAGGGAGAGAGAGGGACCCCCCAAGGGAGAGAGAGAGACCCCCAAGGGAGAGAGAGGGACCCCCTAGAGAGAGAGAGGACCCCCAAGGGAGAGAGAGAGACCCCCCAAGGGAGAGAGAGAGACCCCCCAAGGGAGAGAGAGAGACCCCCCAAGGGAGAGAGAGACCCCCCCCAAGGGAGAGAGAGAGACCCCCCCAAGGGAGAGAGAGGGACCCCCCAAGGGAGAGGGAGAGACCCCCCAAGGGAGAGAGAGAGACCCCCAAGGGAGAGAGAGAGACCCCCCAAGGGAGAGAGAGAGACCCCCCAAGGGAGAGAGAGAGACCCCCCAAGGGAGAGAGAGAGACCCCCCAAGGGAGAGAGAGGGACCCCCCAAGGGAGAGAGAGAGACCCCCCAAGGGAGAGAGAGGGACCCCCCAAGGGAGAGAGAGAGACCCCCAAGGGAGAGAGAGGGACCCCCAAGGGAGAGAGAGGGACCCCCCAAGGGAGAGAGAGGGACCCCCCCAAGGGAGAGAGAGAGACCCCCCCAAGGGAGAGAGAGGGACCCCCCAAGGGAGAGAGAGGGACCCCCCTCGGGAGAGAGACCCCCCAAGGGAGAGAGGGGGACCCCCCAAGGGAGAGGGACCCCCCAAGGGAGAGAGAGGGACCCCCCAAGGGAGAGAGAGAGACCCCCCAAGGGAGAGAGAGGGACCCCCTAGAGAGAGAGAGGGACCCCCCAAGGGAGAGGGACCCCCCAAGGGAGAGAGAGGGACCCCCCAAGGGAGAGGGACCCCCCAAGGAGAGAGAGGACCCCCCAAGGGAGAGGGACCCCCAAGGGAGAGAGAGGGACCCCCCAAGGGAGAGGGACCCCCCAAGGGGAGAGAGAGGGACCCCCCAAGGGAGAGGGACCCCCCAAGGGAGAGAGAGGACCCCCCAAGGGGAGAGAGAGAGACCCCCCAAGGGAGAGAGAGAGACCCCCCAAGGGAGAGAGAGGGACCCCCCAAGGGAGAGAGAGGGACCCCCCAAGGGAGAGAGAGAGACCCCCCAAGGGAGAGAGAGAGACCCCCCCAAAGGGAGAGAGAGAGACCTCCCCAAGGGAGAGAGAGAGACCCCCCCAAGGGAGAGAGAGAGACCCCCCCAAGGGAGAGAGAGAGAGACCCCCCCAAGGGAGAGAGAGACCCCCCCCAAGGGAGATAGAGAGACCCCCCAAGGGAGAGAGAGGGACCCCCCTCGGGAGAGAGACCCCCCAAGGGAGAGAGAGGGACCCCCCTCGGGAGAGAGAGAGACCCCCCAAGGGAGAGAGAGACCCCCCAAGGGAGAGAGAGACCCCCCCAAGGGAGAGAGAGACCCCCCCCAAGGGAGAGAGAGAGACCCCCCCCAAGCGAGAGAGAAACCCCCCCAAGGGAGAGAGAGACCCCCCCCCCCAAGGGAGAGAGAGAGACCCCCCCCCAAGGGAGAGAGAGACCCCCCCAAGGGAGAGAGAGCCCCCCCCAAGGGAGAGAGACCCCCCCAAGGGAGAGAGAGACCCCCCCCAAGGGAGAGAGAGACCCCCCCAAGGGAGAGAGAGACCCCCCCAAGGGAGAGAGAGAGACCCCCCCAAGGGAGAGAGAGACCCCCCCAAGGGAGAGAGAGGGGACCCCCCAAGGGAGAGAGAGAGAGACCCCCCCAAGGGAGAGAGAGAGACCCCCAGGGGAGAGAGAGAGAGACCCCCCCAAGGGAGAGAGAGAGACCCCCCTCGGGAGAGAGAGAGACCCCCCCAAGGGAGAGAGAGAGACCCCCAGGGGAGAGAGAGAGAGACCCCCCAAGGGAGAGAGAGAGAGACCCCCCCAAGGGAGAGAGAGAGACCCCAGGGGAGAGAGAGAGAGACCCCCCAAGGGAGAGAGAGAGACCCCCCCAAGGGAGTGAGAGAGACCCCCCCAAGGGAGAGAGAGAGACCCCCCCAAGGGAGAGAGAGGGACCCCCAGGGGAGAGAGAGACCCCCCAAGAGAGAGAGAGACCCCCCAAGGGAGAGAGAGAGACCCCCCAAGGGAGAGAGAGAGACCCCCCCCAAGGGAGTGAGAGAGACCCCCCCCAAGGGAGAGAGAGAGACCCCCCCAAGGGAGAGAGAGAGACCCCCCCAAGGGAGAGAGAGAGACCCCCCCAAGGGAGAGAGAGAGACCCCCCCAAGGGAGAGAGAGAGACCCCCCCAAGGGAGAGAGGGAGACCCCCCAAGGGAGAGAGAGAGACCCCCCCCCCAAGGGAGAGAGAGGGACCCCCCAAGGAAGAGAGAGGGACCCCCTAGGGAGAGAGAGGAACCCCCAAGGGAGAGGGACCCCCAGGGGACAGCGACAGAGAGACCACAAGAGAGAGAGAATGTAAATGGACAGTGAGGGACCCCTTAAAGGGGGGATAGGAACCTGCAAAGGAGAGGGACCCCGCTGGAGAGCGACAGAGAGACCACAAGAGAGAGAGACTCCAAGTCAGAGTTCTTCACTCATTCTTAGAGGGTGGCCACTTTTGCCGATAAGACATTATCGGTGTGAGGGCCGCCACACATTTTGAGACGATTGGCTACCACTGGGTTTGACAGCAGCACCATGATGATGGGGAGTTTTGTCACACGTTGTGTATTGTCGGGGGCTGCTCGTCATGGGCCGCACTAAAGGCCACTGATGACCACTGCTCTAAAGGGAGAGAGACAGCAAGAGACAGAGAGGAAGCAAGGGGAAGAGTGGGCTCCCAAGATTGAGTGAGACCCCGCAGGGACAGGGAGAGACACCAAGAGAGAGAGAGAGACACCCTTTGGAATGCCTTGTTTATTCCAGTGTGCAGCCAAGGGTTTTGTTTTCCACATGTACAGTACTGGGTTTGGGAATTCACCGTGTTATATGAGGATAGTTACATTTGTTTATATATCTGTGGAGTAGCTACATAATACACTTAGGTTTTTTTCGGTGAAGTCACGTAGGTAAAAATAAAAAATAATAGAAATAATAATAGAAATAAAATAATAAATCACGACGTTTCGGAGGCAACACAAGCTTCCTTCATCAGGTGTTAAAAGGCACAGCAAAATAACTGTAGTGGGAGTTATTTGTGATGGGACATTATTATATAGGGTAAAGACATTAAAAAAATGTTATTTCTATTATTTTTCTATTATTTTTATTTTTACCTACGTGACTTTACCGAAAAAACCTAAGAGTATGAATCCTTGCAGTCACGAAAGCTTCAAATCTAGAATAAGCTACGTAATATATAGCTGACAAATCACAGGGTTTCTAATGACATCACATGGGAAGTAGCATTTTGCAGGTGTTAACCCAATGGATCCTCTTTGGTTTGGCACATTGGCCTCAAAGAATTCGGGGATTTTCCCGTATGAAGCGTCTATGTTGTGCTCAGTAGTGAAATGCACTCGCTCCAGACGTGTATACCCATGATCAAGTATACAGATCCACAACGTGTAATGGAACTCATTAAAAACATGTTGGTCAAATCTCATTCCAAATGTGACCTGTCAACCAAGCACTCACACTCTCATGAGTAATCCTTGCAACTATATTTCCTTCTTGAACCCTAAAAATGTTTGCAATATGAATACACCATCAGAAATGTTACATGGAAATTCATTTATTTCGGATAGAGTATGATGGTAACTTCTAGATATATTCGGGACATCTCTCACAATGTACAGTATTCCTAGAATGTACTTAGATTTTGCAGCTTCAAAGTAAAGTTTTGACTTCTCAATTCGGTGAGACGGGGGCTAGTATTATGATCATCTGTAAAATATACCCAATATTTGTGACACAGCAGTAGTCTAATCCACATTCACTTGTAACAGCGTCTTCCTGTGTAAGAGACCAATTGCTGTTGGTGATATATGTCGGTCAAAAGCACAGCCCAATAAACTTTACCCATCTGCTATTTGCCTTTTATGTAGGCAAACAAATGAAGTCCTGCTTGCAGAGACGGAGATGTTTGAGAAATACTTTAACCGTTTGGATCCCAAAGATTTAAACAGCACTCCTTCTCAGGGTCCGACACCCACCACTTCAATGCAGGACCTGCAGGTCAGTATGCAATTCAACGTGCATCTATATATCAGTGGTGATATATTGCACATGGGCACAAAAGCGAGTTTTATTTTCTTTGCATGATGATTGATGAAAACACTTAAAAGTGTTTCGCAAGTTGAGAGGGCTAGCCACTGAACTGAGCAACTGTAGTAATTGGAATCACAAAGTTTCGGGTTAAAAAACAACATTTGGCAGTGTTGTTGTGTTTTCCAAGTTCAAAAGGGGAAAACTAGAAATATGATGTCCACAACTGTAATTGACAGAACAATTTTGACGACAAAATGAGAACAACCCGGTTCTACACTATTTCACGCTGTGATTTGAGTAAATTTCTGGATAGCATTTACTATATATCTTCATCAGCCATGATCTATCACTGCTGGATGAAGGCCTTCTCAAGCCATTGCCATCTCTCAAGGACTCGGATTACACCAATCCACCTAGCTCCTGCTGTCAATTTGATTTATATATGTACATATTTTCTTATGCTTTTAATATAAAATCCAGTGATTGAATCTAAAGATTATTTTTGAGTACTCCATTTAGATATTTGATCAATTCCTTAATTTTTCTATTTGGGGTACTCAGGGAAACAACATATATGGGACAATAACACTCAATCCACACATTAGTAATCTATTTGTTGCACTACCATCTCCTAGCCACCTCAGAGCCCAACAGGTAAGCAGTCTCACACCTCCACTGTACTGGATTACAGATGTGCATCACCGCTATGAAGTTTATGTCGATAATAAATGTAACTATCAGATCATGTTGAACTGCATTGAAATTCAATCGTAATTTCTGGACTTAAACTCCCAGGCAGTTGATTTTCATTGTAAATGTTGTGGATTTACTCTCCAACACACCGGTGGTGCTGAAGTAGTAAACTAATCGACGCGTTGTTTACGTGACAAACCTTAATAGCTGTGTCGGGTGGTGGAGGGTTACGACACATTTATACTTACGCGATCAAACCCGAAAACCTTTATTATGAATAATATTGGTCGCAAAAGCCTACGTGTTAAACTGATTTTCATTGTTGGGAAATAGATAAAGAATCGACCAAAATAACCATGTATTTTTTGTGTCATTGCGCATTGATGTTTCTCTAAAATAAACGTATCTGGCAAAACAATATCTTCTTCTTGGTTCTTTCGGTAAAGTCACGTAGAAGGGAAATAATAAAATAATAATAATAAAATACAATTCTCACGACGTTTCGGCCACAACGCAAGCAGCCGTCCTTAGGTGAAGAACAGGTCTGTCGGAAAGACAGCGTCCGAATGAACACCGCCAAGCTTGGCAGCGTATATTTAAGCTGGGTTAGGGGAGGAAGGTCGTTCCGACAGACCTGTTCTTCACCTGAGGACGGCTGCTTGCGTTGTGGCCGAAACGTCGTGAGAATTGTATTTTATTATGTTTTTATTTTATTTTATTATTTCCCTTCTACGTGACTTTACCGAAAGAACCAAGAAGATAAATCCCTGCAGTCACGAAAGCTTTAAATCGAAATTTAACAATATCTGTTCTATTGAATGCCTCTAACCAACGTGCACTCTGCAACCTCTCTTAGACCCGGGGGCTGCGTCGCTCACGGTCGCGAGGCAGTTCGACTGACCGACCGCTGCGGCTCACGGCGGCACAGAAGTGCGAGCTGGCACAGACGGAACTGGAGCAGCTGCGGGCCGAGCTGTTGAGCACGGGCGTAGAGGCTGAGCAAGTCCTCGACACCTACAAGGTCGCACTCGGCATCAAGTGTCTGACCCAGAGGTCGCAAACGGTTTTTATTCCTTACCCGTACCCGTAACCGGCCGCACCAGGGTCGCAAATGGGTACCCGTACCCGTACCCGGTCGCACCAGGATCGCAAATGGGTACCTGTACCCGTACCCGGCTACCCGTACCCGGCCGGGTATCGGGTAGGGTACGGGTACCCGATTGTGACCTCTGGGATGAAGCCATGTTGCAGGCGTGGGTGGGTTGATTCGAGGAACTTGAATTGTGAGAAGAGACAAGACGTTGGGAAATTAGTGACAAACAGGTTACTCGCCAGTGACTCGCGGTCTACCCGTACCCGGCCGCACCAGGGTCGCAAACGGGTACCCGTACCCTACCCGATACCCGGCTACCCGTACCCGGCCGGGTATCGGGTAGGGTACTGGTACGGGTACCCGATTGCGACCTCTGGGATGAAGCCATGTTGCAGGCGCGGGTGGGTTGATTCTAGGAACTTGAATTGTGAGAAGAGACAAGACGTTGGGAAATGAGTGACAAACGGTTACTCACCAGTGACTCACGGCCTACCCGTACCCGTACCCGGCCGCACCAGGGTCGCAAACGGGTACCTGTACCCGTACCCAGTCGGGTACGGGTAGCCGGGTATTGGGTAGGGTACGGGTATCGGGTACCCGATTGCGACCTCTGGTCTGACCTCACTCTACTCAGATTTGGCAGTTGGCAGCATCAGGTTTACAAAACTTTTGGCCACAGTGCGTAAGTATGTATGGTGAACTTCTTTCGCACCGTACGTAGTCAACCGTGCTAATCAGACCCGTGCTGAGCCAGCCTGGCTTTTTCTCATTAGATACCAGGTTGTTTTTCCACTGCAGAAGCCGAGCCATGCCGCTGATCTTACGTGGAATTAACGGTGATGTTTGTTGCTGGCCGTTTGACATTTTGGGTCTTTGGGCATTTTCTGAGCAATAGTACAAAAAATAAAAAAATAAAAAAATTAGAGTATATCAAATTTGTGCTGTTTAAGAAAAGCATAATTTCCTGTGTGTTATGTACGTATTCGACATTCACCTCAGCTCATTCTGCAGGAAGATACCATTGTGACATGGGGTGGTTCGGTGTGCTGGTCATGTGCCTTTGTGTCTGGCGTGGAGGTCAGGCCACGATGGAGGAGGCAGACATTAGGCTGACAGAGTTCAGGAGAGCGCAAGTGGAGTTCGAGCGCGATATCCTTAAGACCAAGACGGGCACTGGCAAGGGACGAGACGCTGCCAGAGGGTTGGCTCGGCTGCCGGCCGACAAGATCCTGCACTACATGGAAGACAGGATTCATGCTCGGGTACAGCCACACGCATCCCGCACTTATCCTTCCTAGACTTTAGCACATGGCTGCGAATGTCCTTTGACACCTCACAAAAATATAAAGGTGGCTAATGGATTTGAGTCGTCCCTCCGTCGTTTCTCGGATGCACCGCTGCGGGTGGTTTGTGCGTTGTTGCGGTGGGCTTACGACCGGAATTGGATCCAACGTGACCGTTATTTTTCGTGCGCAATTTTATTCCGATAGAAAATTGAGAACGGCTTGTATTTTTATAATTCTTGGTTCTTTCGATTGCTTGTGTTGCAGTCGAAACGTCGTGAGAATTTTTATTGTTTTATATTTATATTATTTTATTATTTCCCTTCTACGTGACTTTACCAAAGAACCAAGAAAAATGAATCCCTGCAGTCACGAAAGCTTTAAATCAAAATTTTGCTTGTATTTTGTCAGCAAGAGGTAAATTCCAACAATCTACAAGCGTCTCCCTGCCCAAGCGAGCGATGGGATCATACTCACTTCTGTTGGTGGCCCTGAGCCAATGGACGAAATGCCACATTGCTTTAGTGGGAGCCAGACACCCCCCATATGCTAACCATTGTTGATCTCCCTTCCCACAAAGTGGGAATCAACTTTTTATTGCCTGGGGGGGATAATGAGCTGTGCCAACAACTGACTATGATTTGACCTCGCCACTCTTTCATTGCAAACACGTTGAGCAGAGGCCCGTCTGGCCAAATACGGATGACGAGTGGGGCTTAACAATGTGGCATATTCGCTGTCAAATTAAATTCAAGATTCACGTTTTCAAGTGACCCCAAGGTGACCTGCAGTAACATGTTTATTATGATATCAGTGGTCTGTGTTGATAGTGGTACACAAGTAAACACATTTTTGACCACGTTCAGCCTTAAATCTGCCTTTTTAGCAATAACATATTTATTGATTAAAATTTTCGTCATTTCCCCCTTTATCCAATTGCCCTTAAAAGGAGCCATTGCCTGAAACATTTGTCTGCTTTATAATTGTTTTCTGTTTTAAGACAGTGTTAGTGATGGATGTGCTTCGTTATATTTCTTGGTTGAAACATGACCACGGATAAATATAATTGCTCATTGCACATCCATGGAGAGAGTTTTTTTCTAAATGTAATTTAGATGACAATAGGTACAAGAATGGTACTGATTCAAATAATCTTTCATTGAGGTAAATTGAATGAATGTCGCTGTTGTAGTGTTGTTAATTTCATTAAACATACGCCGTGGGGGTGGCTCTGCATTGGTGTGTAGTGTGTTTGATATCGCATTGTTTGCCGAATAATATTCTCTTTGTCACCAAAGGTATTGTAAAAGTGATTCGTGTTTTTGCAGCTTCGCCTTGAGTCTAAGCCCTCGGGGGAGTCGTGTACGATGAAGAATGTTGAGGGTCATTTGTGTAAAAGTTTGCACTGCCTGGAGCCTGTGGCTGGGAGCAAGCCAAACTTTTTGTGATAAATCTCACAAATAGTTCACGTTGTTGTCAGTACCTCAAGGACTGCGGTTGTCGTGCTGAACGAGATTCAGCCTGAGGCCATTTGACCTATTCGTAGTGAGACAATGACTGCCTCCCTGCACTCATACACCAGATTGTCTCATGATGCACTTCTTTGTGACGATATTGCCACGGTCATTGCTTTCACAGCTAGCAAATGTCATTCTCCCAAGACTTGCAGCACTTTTTTTAACCCACTCTGGTTCGACATCTTATACAGACCATATGGCTCTTAGAGCATGCACAAATATGTAATGCTACTACATTGTCCCCCACTCTCATGTTATGCTTACGTATGGCAATATGTTCAGGAGCTAAATGCCATTCTCACGACGTTTCGACTGCAACACAAGCAATCATCATTAGGTGTGAAATCCACAGCAAGAAAATTTGAAAAAAGTGGCGGTTTTCTCCTAACGTCAGCACCACGAACAGCGATTTAAAGCTTTCGTGACTGCAGGGATTCATATTCTTGGTTCTTTCGGTAAAGTCACGTAGAAGGGAAATAATAAAATAAAATAAATAAAAATTCTCATGACGTTTCGACTGCAACACAAGCAATCATCATCAGCAATCACCATTATGCCCTCTCATGGTGTGAAAACCACAGCTGTGGTTTTTACACCATGAGAGGGCATCAGGAGTTCGTTCGTGTAGTTTTGCGATTTCTTCGTTAAAGGAGCGCAGACTACAGTGCTTCACAGTTGCATGGCCACAATTGCACAACTGTGACTTGTGTGTCTTTAATTTTCCATATATGAAGGAGATGTGGCTGCGATTAGCACGGTTGGCTACATACGGTGTGAAAGAAGTTCAATATGCATACATGTGTGCATCGACCTCGTGACGTTCTGATGCAGTTGATGAATCCATCGCCAGTGTTTTCGAGGTAGAACGTCAAAGCCACGGGGTGCGATGTTTGTATCTCGAATGTGGTGTTCATTCTGGACATCCACGTTGTTCTACTCTGTTTGCCAGCAATCTTCTGGATCTGGGCTGAGATTCTACGATAGTGACAGCATGATCCCAGAAGGGGGATTGGGACTCAAGTTTGCTGCGAGGTAAACTGCTGAGGTCATGGTCGATGATGGTTGTAATGTGGTTGTCGTTGACAAGAAAACGTGTGAACTCCCTTGCAGTTTGCATGTCTCTGTGGATATTTGGTGGCAGAACGTTCACCAAAACAGTGAGCCAGGGGGGTTGGTTTCGGTGTCCCGGTTATGATGCGCATCACGTTGTTCACTCTCATAAGACATTCAATTAACTTGATGCATCTGTATTTACTCAAAGTCACAAAGTTATGTGAATTTTTTTCCCCGTTACTCTCAGGGTGTTATTTCTTGCAGTCCTTCGGCCAAGAGACTGACTGTAAACACCACCTACTGAGCCTGCATGTTTGAGAAGTTCCAAAATTCAGATCGCAGTCACGCACAAGTCACTATTTGCTGCTGTGTGCTATGTCGGCGCAGGATACGCTGATAGAGAAACTGCGTTTAAGGAATGGAAGCCTGAAGATGCAAAACAAGAAGATGCTCCTCCAGCTACAGCAGGTCAGACATTGATTCATTTCCCCTAAAATCCTCAACGTTGTGACCTCACACTGCAATCTCTTACTTGCACGTATACACTAGGCCCAAAGGAAACTTCCTTGCAAATGCAATCAACTGCTCTATGTAGAAAGACGGTGGTTTAGGAGACGGTGTATGTTTCCTCAGTTACAATTCATTAACATACTCACACTTTATTAAATGTGTAAGGGATGCCGAGAGGTGAAACCTATTCGGAAATTTAATTAATATACACTCACTATGTCTAACGGCTCCTCCTCGTGATTTCGAATAGCGTGCTCACCTCTCATTGGTGAGGAGCTAGCATGGGGGCAGCCAACATAGGGGATACACAAATCGGATTTGAAGGTGAAGAACAATCAGGTCGGATTGGTTGTCAAGGGAAAACTAAATGGAAATGAGGGGATCGGTTGGGAGACTGTTAGGGGAAGTGAATGGGATTTGTGGAGAGTCATGGAACGTTTTGGGAACGGATGGAGAAGGGGATAAAAGTACTGTATGGGTAGAAGGGGTGGTGCCTGAACGGAATGATGCACTGATGTGTGACGTGCTGTGCGGAAGATGGGATGAAGACCGAGTTCAAGACTCACACGACTGGAAATCCTTTACAAACACATCGGACTAATGCAGTCACCGGTTATTTTCACTGAACTGTCCTTACTCTGATTGGGAAATACATCGTTTCATTCTTGGCGAATGCGTAACTTCAACATTGCTACAGAGCCTGGATGGCTGCATAACCTACTGGGTCGAGTAGTTGCCGCTGAGCAAAGTTGACGGTGCATGTAACCATTGCAAGTTGTCTGGCTATCAGTTCGGGAAGACAAGTCTCGCTCACGTCCCATTCTTTAAACAGCCAGTGCTATGTGTGGGATACGCCGTGTCTGCAGAAGGAGGAGATGGGAGAGGCTCTACACGAGGTAGACTTCAGCCAGCTGCAGATTGAGAACAATCAATTCGTGGAGAAAATTGACGAGAGGAACCAGGACATGCTGAGGCTGAAACTCACGGCGGCTAACACATTGCAAGTCCTCAACTCCTACAAGGTATGGCACTGGAGTGCAAGGGGGGGGGGGGGGCATTGGGGTGCAAGGAGAGGCACTGGGGAGCAAGGGGTGGCAATGGAGTGCAAATGATGGAAAAGAATCACTGATAATATTGGCTGGAACACCCACGAGTTAAATTATTTGTAAGCCTTATAATTTGAGTTACAGTCAGCCCTAGCCATGTCTTTGCATTACACTGACATTGTATTGAAGTGTATGGGAGTGACCTTGCAGCATAACCGTCAACCCCTTGTCAGTGCCCTACCTTATTACAGACACATTCAGACCTTACTGGTCACCCCGTGCCCTTATACATCTTAACGTTCGTCCTACAAAGTCCCATCACAAGGGGGAGAAGCACAAACAAATAGACAAAACAATGTTTTGTTGTTGCCCGTATCGAAACGGCTGTACGCAGTATGGACCTAAAAACTCAATTTCCCTGTACAAGGATACAGGATCAAATACTTATTTCCCTCATTAAAATGCAAATCAATTTATAACATTTTTGACATGCGTGTTTCTGGATTTTTGTTGTTGTTATTCTGTCTCTCACTGTTCAAATAAATCTACCATTAAAATTATAGACTGATCATTTATTTGTCAGTGGGCAAACGTACAAAATCAGCAGGGGATCAAATACTTTTTTCCCTCACTGTATGTCACAACCACATTGCTTGAAGACCATCATGATGTACTTGTAACTTCAACATCTGTATTTCTCATTAACACACCTTCACATGTGTGTCATACAGCCCGAGACGTACGGCCTCGGTGTGCCCCTGCAAGGGCCGCTTGTTTTCTTTTCCGTTGCGTCGTTCTTTAATCGACACCTCTAGGCAGCTGGTGACAGCAACACTCTCGTGACATGGGGCAAGGAAGTGACGATGCTCACCACGAGACGCTTGTGAGGCAGTTAAAACGGCAGGAATAACAGTTGGACGATAAGTGGACACGCATTCTCTTTTGAAAAATAAGAATAGGTTTTGCCCTTTCTGGCAATAAAACAGGTGTTAAGATATTCTTGGTTCTTTCGGTAAAGCCACGTAGAAGGGAAATAATAAAAATAAAACAATACAATTCTCACGACGTTTCGATTGCAACACAAGCAATCATCATCAGGTGTTAAGATGTTCAAACACCAAATATAAACCTTTTCTAAGGAATCAATTTCGCAGTAACCACACGTACTTGTGGTGAACATGCAAACAAACATACTCTGGTTACATAAGCAATGTCTTTGAAACTGATTGGCCTACACCAGAGACAGCTTTCAATAGGGCCTCGTCTCACCACCAGTGTCAAACCAGACAACGCTAAAAGCCGAACAGTACAAAGACAATGCCACTATCAGAACATTTCTAGATCGGGGTGATATAAGAATACTTTGATACTGGCAAAAAGGTCCACTGTTATACACGTTCCATTGGTTGCACTCCGTTAATGTGCAACCTTTAACTGTACTATGAGCTGTCAGTCAGCAAACCTCTTTCCTCTCTACATCAGAAGCAGAATCTTTATATAGACTGAAGGGATCCGATGAGCAATACAGCTCTCTTTCACAGATGTCCAGTTAGGGGCAGGTCAGCATGTTACAACAACAAACAATACACAAACAAACGACCAGAGTGCAATAAGCCCGGCACAGACACCGTTAGCATCGTAGGGGTGAACGTGCGATGTTTATGTCGCGTACTCCGCGTGTCTTTGTTGCGCTAAGCATATTACGGTTACGCACGGTTGTTGAGCAGCGTCTCATTTGTGATCACAGAAAAAACTGAACCTGCTTATGGAGGAGGCTCGGACCATGGAGCGTGACATTGCTTCTCGGCACGAGATGCTCAAGAGCATCGACGTGGAGACCGTGGCGGTGGAGGAAGTGAGGACCTTGACATTGTGCATGGCAGTGGGCATAAGTTCATCATTCCACCCTGCAGTACACAATTAAACATTCCTACGGAGGGAGCTGGTTGGAACGTTGGGTTGCTCGGTCAATGGCCAGGGTCAACGGCAGCGTGGTGTATTCCGCAAATATGCCCGACTGTGAGGGCGGGCACAAGCCGGCGTGAGTAGGTTAAACGTTGAGTTTTATAAGGGCACCACGGGGTGACAAGCCCCTCCCGACCCAGCTCCACCCCTCCCACCCAGCCCCTCCCCACCCAGCCCCTCCCCACCCAGCCCTACCCTCCCCACCCAGCCCCTCCCCACCCAGCCCCTCCCTGCACGACGGACACAATAATCCCCTGTGGGCTGGTGTAACCAGGAGGTTCCGACCAGTACCGTTGTGTTTCTAGCCAACGTCGAGATGACAGGGTGAGAGATGGGCAACATCAGGATTCGGATTGAACTGAGAGTTGTGGCTCAAGGGGTTTATGCTTAAATAGTAGACAAAAGTATCTAGGAGTTAGCTGTGTGCCTTACTAGGTGGCCATCTTATGTTAATTGAGTTGTCTCTGGGTGAATGAGCAGGAGAGGATGAAGGCAGAACGTCTGAACAGGCAACTGCGGGCACAGCTGTCCGAGTTCCGTGTCCCTCCCGTGATGGAATACGTGCAGCACAAGGCCCAGTTGCTGGACTTGCAGAATGAAGTGTGCAGCTGGGAGCGTAAAGTGGAGATTGCAACGGTGAGTGCATGTCGTAACACACTTGTTCATTAAACAAACACGAATAGCTCCTCCCTGGTATTGGTCCAGGTGCGTACCAGCTCAGTTGGTTGTCGATATTAGGCATATACAAAGGCCTTGAACAAGCAGCTCACTGGAGATGCACCAAAAGTCATTCCAAGATTCCACACAACAGAGTAACATTTCATCACATCCACACGATGTTCAACCACCACACTGCAGGTCACAACAACTTACTCACCCACTCACCGCACTGCAGGTCATAACTTACTCACCCACTCACCACACTGCAGGTCACAACAACTTACTCACCCACTCACCACACTGCAGGTCATAACTTACTCACCCACTCACCACACTGCAGGTCACAACAACTTACTCACCCACTCACCACACTGCAGGTCATAACTTACTCACCCACTCACCACACTGCAGGTCACAACAACTTACTCACCCACTCACCACACTGCAGGTCATAACGTACTCACCCACTCACCACACTGCAGGTCACAACAACTTCCTCACCCACTCACCACACTGCAGGTCATAACTTACTCACCCACTCACCACACTGCAGGTCATAACTTATTCACCCACTCACCACACTGCAGGTCACAACAACTTCCTCACCCACTCACCACTCTGCAGGTCACAACATTTATCTGATGCGTCTCTCCCATCGTCTCTTTTGACAAGCTCTTATAACCTTTCCAGAAACATGTAACTCATATATATATAAACTAGTGCTGTATATTTGCTGACCGCTTGTTGCCTTGAAGCCTGTGCTTATCAACTGTGCTTTGTATTGTGTTTGTATGTGCAGCAAGAAGGCATAGTAGGGGGTACAGGTTGTGCATCGGCCAGTCAACTCGGTCAGTCAACCCATGGCACCTAGCTCTGCCCCATGACTTCCTGCCAGTGGGCGTTTGCCACTTCACATAGCCTTAAAGTGCACACAGCCTGGCACAAGCGCCTTGGTGATGTCACCCCCACTTAGTGGTGAATGGTGGTTATATACAGTACGCATGTGTGCATTTCTACTTGTGCACATAGACCTGTGTGTGGATGTTTCACACATGTAGCTTTATGTTCGTTAAGCCTGTTTGTGTACATGTATTTACATGATGGGCACTGTCCAAGTGTGTGCGCGTGCCCTGGTGTGTCTGCTATCATGATTGTGTGCAGTAAGATGTGTGTTGATAAACTGTTTATATTTGTTAACAGACGCAACTACAGGCTCACAAAAGCACCTGGAAGAGGCTGAAAACAGCCAGCGTTCAGCACAAGGAGTATCCAGTGCCAGACTCATCACAGCACCTCCCCAGATAATACAATTGGGATAGATCCACTGGTGGAGCCAGTGGGGGGGGGGGGGGGGTGGCACGTGCCCCCCCAATGATCCGATCGAATTCCCTAATTTCGATCGGATCATTGGGGTTTATTCGTAATAAATCGGCATTTTGCGACCCCCACTGCCACTGTGTAGCATATTATTGTGTGCCAGGGACTCTATGAGATGATAGGACAATAGTCTGAGTCCATAATTGGCAATAAGTAACGGCAAAGCAGTTATAAGTGACTCACAGAATTGTGCGCAGTTGCATATACAGCACACGACTTCCCTGAAGGCATCAACACCTTCAGCGAGCGCGATGCCGATCACACAACGCGGTTCGAATTCGACTCTCAATTGATGGCTGCTCCTATCATTTTTCATTGCTGGAGGGGTTACCCCCCCCCCCACCTGAAAATCCTGGCTCCGCCATTGGACAGATCATCACCCGTTTTCCTGCAAGATTATCCCTTGGGTCGCACCTTGTTCACAGTCTCAGGTAATGTGGCAATTCACAATTGATGTTTGGGTTAGGCCACGTAATGGCCTGACCAAATTTGTGTCGTAAGACCCTCCACCGCCCGACATGGACAAAAAAATGTAGTTGTCGCGTGTGTACCAGCGGCTGTTGTTTCGGCTCGCTCACCGGTGAGTTGAAGAACAATTCTCACGACCAAACTCAGCGGAAATTAGTTGCGTTTCACTTCAAACTGCATCAAGCATCTTCAGGGCAAGATCCAGAGAGAATAAAATGCAGGTCATTTAATTTTAACCCATAAATAAATGAATTTGCAGAGAAAATCTAGATATTAGGATGTGGGAAATTACTACGTTTTATTCTGTGTTAAAAAAAATTAGCAATTGCAGCATTTAATGCAGACTCGATATGAGCTGCTTGTAAATTGAAATGAAAATGTAATTGTATTACAACATGTTAAATAGGTTTTTTATGCACCGACCCCCTAAGACAATGAATGTATCTTGACAGTAAATCATTTATTGCAGTTACATTAAATTTTAGTCAAATGTTAATGAGGTAGGTCGATGCTCTTTGAGATTAAAATCTTTCAATGCAATAATATCAAGGAACGAAAAAAACATGCATATGCGAGGATTCTGTAACACTATCCAACAGTTGACTTCAGAAGTATTTAAATTGCGATAATGAATCATCTTGATCAGTTATTATGCCTCCGTATTAGACAGCCTGGCAGAGAAAATACATTAACACTTTTAACCAGAGTTGAAAAGCATGAAGCATAAAAAGAATTCCACCCCCCCCCCACCCCCCAAAATTACAAAAAAATATATATATACCGTACTTACAAATGTTAACCCATGCAGCAAATAAAAAAAGAAGAATCAGACTACACTGGTGCAGAATGTAGCTTAACAGAAGATGCAATAATATTATCCGTAACTTGGACAATCCACACTGACCTTTCTCCACATTTGTTTTGAGGTTTGGGATTATGAAAAAAACAATTAAGGTAAATTCTATTTAAATAACTACATTAAATTACCTGTGTGTGACAAATATGAGACCTTGCTCTATTGGATGCCGATGACTTAGAACAGGCAATACATTTAACTGGGTTAAACTAACGGATCTCCAAGAACATGTTTGCACGAGAGTTGATGCTAGATATGAAGCTTTCGTGACTGCAGGAATCCATACTCTATGGTTCTTTCGATAAAGTCACGTAGGTAGAAAAAGAAAATAAAAGTAAAATAAAAAAGTTGTATATTTAATAATAATTAATATTTTATTTTATTTTTCTACCTACGTGACTTTACCAAAAGAACCAAAGAGAAAAGTTGACACTCCTTTAAAGCGTGTTATATAAACACACTGACTAAACCAAGCCTTCGGAAGGGAGTTATCCAATACGGTCTACCTTTTAGCTGCAAATGATTTCCTAATCAAACCACAATTGAGCATACATAATAAAAAAAACATTTCTTAAGTGCATTCACAGAATAATATCAATATGTTGTCATGCTTCCATTTCAGTTACTGACAAATGGTCGTCATTTGCAGATGTCATTGCCCTGCCCCCACCATTCCATGATGGGTTAAGCTTGAAAACTGACTGGGTAATTCTTACGACCAGTGGAATTCAGCTTATCAGCTTCCACTACAATAAGTTTTCATGGCATTTTATTAAACGTACATTACAAGGTAATGTCAGGAAGGCATTGTGTTACAATTGTATCGTTTCCTGACTGCAAAGAACGGAAAACAGGTGGCAGGTTTACATTGTAATACAAATACAAACATACCAGAGATTGCATTAAAACTTCTGCATTTACTGAAAGCAATGTCCGTGCATGCATTGTAAACTCAAAACAGCAAACAGGGAATGTGGATTACATCTTCTTGTGCCTCTGTCTGATGGTACATCATAGCTACCCCCCCCCCCCCCCCGCTGCAGAATATTCCATCCCCGCTCTCCCAGGACCTTGCCCTCACACGACTTTCACAATGCAGGCATGCAGTCTCGAAACCCATTCCAGTTTCCACCGGGTTCGATTCCCAACTCGGGTGCCTACCTCTGAGGAGTGTGGAGGTTCTCCCCGTCTTGGATGTGCTCTGTTCTCTGGTTTCCTCCCATAGATGACGATCATAAACATACAATGCAACTTTATTAGTCACAACATCATAATGCTGAAACATTACCTGCAAATTACTCAATTGGGATTACACACGGCGACATCAGCACCTACTGCAAAAAAAAAACGTCTTGAGACCTACCAGTTACGCTGTGGTTTTTTTAGCTATGGGAGGAAACTGGAAACCCCAGAGGAAACCCATGCAGAACAGGGGGAGGACATACAAACGCAACACAGAAAGGCACCCGAGGCAGGAATTGAACCCAGGCGCTTCTTGCCATGATTCACAACGAGCGTTACCACTGCGTCACCCTTACACCCGAATCAATCGCCAGCAGCCGCCCAGAGAAGAACCTCGGATCTCAGCGGTACCAGCTCAGCATGCGTCCCTCTTGAGCCATCGGGACACTTCTTGAAATGATGTTTTAATAACCTTACACTTTAATAAAAATCCAAGTTCCCTTAGACACATTTAACAATGTGACTGAATTTTGATTTAAAGCTTTCCTGACTGCAGGGATTCATATTCTTGGTTCTTTCGATAAAGTCACGTGGAAGGGAAATAATAAAATAATAAAAATATTAAACAAGAACATTTTATTGCTGTGAATTTCACACCTGATGATGATTGCTTGTGTTGCAGTCGAAACGTGAGGATTTTTATTGTTTAATATTTAGTTTATTATTTCCCTTCTACGTGACTTTACCGAAAGAACCAAGAAAAATGTGTGACTGGTGAAACCCAGCATGTGCCACCAATGGTCTGAAGTAGAAGGCTCGCGTTATCGAGAGTTGACAGAGCAGCATGGGTGCAGATGGTAAAGTAATGTACCTACCCCCTCAGCATCGAGCAATGTGGCACATTCCACTCACCACGTCAAAAATATAACAACACATTTCAACGAGCATTTATTTTAGTCACTTTAATTGGACTTAGTAACTACAAAATGCAGAAGGAGATAACTTTGGTTTGAACACAAATGGTGTGCAATACGAGACACGCAACTGGAGTATAACCAACACAATACGGCAGCTTGGATTAACTTTCGGGAGCGATCGTCAACTTTCAACGTGGCTCCACTTGAGTCAGGAGGGTGCAATTCAGCGATGTCACTATGTTGAGATCATCGCTTCCTCCAGCTGTGGTCCGCAAGGCCAGCGGGAAGTGGTCTCGGTGACACGGTCACACGGTCACGGATGCTGCAATTTTTAATTTCGAAAAAAAATGTGGAGGTGCATGGTGCTCCGCAGAGATTTGGTTGGGAACCTCTGGCTTAGAAGCGTCCGATGTAATCGATGCCTGAATATTTCACGGGTATTCAAAGGTTACTTTTAGGGATTTAGGACCGAAGACTGCACCCTCCTTCACCGCAATGGAGCCAAGATGTTGTGCGAGTAATCCTCTCGCGTCTCACAAAAGTGTCGGGGTTAGATAAGTAAGCAGAACCAAATGATATACTTCCAATCATGCAGTACTACGTTTTTAAACAATTATGTTAATAACAGTACGATTCTAAAATAAACTTAAGATGTAATTTGACATCAATAATATTAATCATCATCAATCTTGGTCAAGCTGCTTTTGGATGAATGCCTCCCCCCCTCAACCCTCCACCATCTCTTACGATCCCACAATATAACATCGATAAAATTAAGACACAACAAGAGACATCTTAAAAGTAAACACTACTACTTAACATAAACGAATTAATTTGAAACACAAAGTGCATTTGGTCCTTGGTCTTAAGACGTACTTTGATTTGAATGTCACGACGAGCAAACGGAACCTCCACATGGAATGGAATGGAAGGTGGCCAACACACTTTGGGAATGGTACATCAATGACAGGATTCATATCGATAGAATAACTTTGAGTACTTTAGCCACACTAATCATATTTTATATTCCGGTGTTATGTTCCGTAAAACATTTAAAGTGAATTAACTCTCACCTGGATGATCGACCGTCGTGATTTAATGTGGCCAATGATACTGCACTCAGAAATAAAACGCCAACAGCCAATCTGTACTTCCCTTGCAATAGGTTTGTCCACCACTGATCAGAGGTCGCAATCGGGTACCCGATACCCGTACCCTACCCGATACCCGTACCCTACCCAATACCCGGCCGGGTACGGGTAGCCGGGTATCGGGTAGGGTGCGGGTACCCGTTTGCAACCCTGGTGCGGCCGGGTACGGGTACGGGTAAGGAATCAAAGCCCGTTTGCGACCTCTGCCACCGATGTATTATACAGGATATGGGATAATTCAGCTCTGAAAGACAAGCTGAGTTTAGCTTCCTTGACTATCAGCCACATTTCTTGTCCCAAGTAAACAGCAGTTGGTGCATTTAAACGTCCTTGAATTTATTTTTTCTCCGTGTGTTTCTACAGAATGGCTATAAAAGGGTGTAGTTATTCTGGTCACTGCAGCACAATTTCCTTGACAGGTCACCCATGGCAACAACAAACATCCTGCGGAGAGATCATGCCTTGTACAAAATTATTGCGGGATGTTTTGAAATTATAATTAAATCGCCTTGAAAATGGTCCTCTGTAAATGCTAACATCCGAGTATTCATTTCTTTATGAACAAATTCACGTCAGAAAAGTTCTCAGGAAATGAGTTGAAAATGTGATATTTGAGATCCAACGTAAAGGTGCTAATCGTAGCAGCAGTGACAGACGCAGCACAGATTTTCTCAATATCTCGACTAAAATTAAGTGTTACTGTCAGGGACCCAACTGTTTGCCTTACATGTAATAGTAATTTCCAAGCAATGTAATGCTATCAATATTGTTTTATTTTAGAAAATCTACCGTACTAATCCCCGCAACCGAAATGAAATATTTACCGTGGGATATACAACCGCTTTGAATTCAAGCGCAACTGGGCATTTCTAGAGGAAGTTTTGAAGCACTGCTGTTCGTGACCGACCCACCATGAGACCCACCAAGGAGTGGTTGAGGGGAATGCCAAATGGCTCGGCCGTGTAAAGCCGAGAGATTTAAAAACCACGTGTACACGAATAGGTTTTTGTAATATCCTGAAACTCCTATTTTAATAGACCCTTGGATCAAAGTTTGACTTAAATATACCTTTGCTATTGTACAGTTTGAACACAGCAGCAGATAGTGACTAGCCTGAGGAAATGATAATGTGACAGGACAGACTGCATCTAATGGTGTTGTTTATCCAGCAGGTCAGGTCAGGTCTTTACATGGTAGAGCGTCTTTCTACATGGAAATGTGTATATAAACACCCGCAGCGTTTGGTGAAAGAGTCCACGCACAACACGCAGTGAAAGCCCCTGAGATCACCCGGGTGGAGTCGGCTCGTGGCCGGGGGTCAAGTTGAGGGATTGCGGAAATGTCATTAACCCCACTGCGCAGGTGTTCGCGGTCGTGCTGGACAGCTCTCCGGATGTGTTTACTGGTTGTTACCGCACACGTTGTCCGGCGTGACGCTAGCTCCCTGGCTTCGTGTGAAGAAGAAGTGGGAGTGGCTGCTCCCGGCATGTGAAGCGAAACGTCAAGACGCCTTGCCGGACAATATCAACAACAACGACGCAGCCGGGATCCGAGAGCACTCCGCAGAGGTGTTACCGACCCTGCCTCTCGTAGTCGTGGCATCAATAACTTTACCATTTAAAAAATAAACCATTAATTTCTCAACCAATAAAGATCGTCCAAACCTGTTTTTAGGACACGTTTTCTTCGGACTTAAAAACATTTTCCCACCTTAAAGTATCAAGAGTTGCTCACATTCACAGCGCTGGTGCGGATAAAAAAGCAATAAACGTGTTCTAATTGGGTTTCAATGCAAAGTTCAAATTAGTTCCGAATGTCACGTACCCGAGCGAATACTCGAGGTGTGTTCACGACACGAATATTGAGGCCGTAAAAAACCCTCCACACCTTCCCTCCCACAGTTCAATAAAATGGCAATGATTCAGGCTTGCGATCCAAGAATCAATTATTTTCACGTTGTTTCTATCCTGTGTCTCATGTCCCATCTTTTTTGTACAGTCTTGTGCACTCCATTAGCCGACATTAATAATTCCCATGAATATTCATAAAATGTCAATCATGTATTCGTGTACACCCCGTTAGATACATGTCTCAAAAACTGGCACCGCATCTTTGCAGTCCATGCAACTAAATTCAAATTGGATGTTTTAGGCCAAATAATGCGGAAAGGTGATTTCCAATATCCAGCCATTTGCAGCTCTCCAGCCATTCACCACTCTCCAGCCCTAACCGATGGCTTCCGTCTACTTCTGGAACATTTAATCTCTCTGTTGCATTGCCCCCCCCTGGTATTTTCCCCTGCATCCCCATTTAGTAACTCAAGCCGTATGCAAGTTGTCAAAATACAGCGTTTTGTGGTGTTTCTAACCTTCAGAAGCTGTACATATTCATTCAGTACTACATCAGCTGAAGCATTTTAAAATATATAGTTTGCGGTCAAAGATTAGTTACATATTACATTCACTTTGACTACAACCTTACAGAATTTCATGACAGCATTAACGATAGCTGTTACAACCCTTTTAAAATGTTAACATCAAGTTTTTTGTTTGTTCTGTAACAACTTTCACCCAATATTTACCACAAGACGCTGATCATGGTGACATGCTCATCAGAAGCTACACAACATAAAACGTCACGTGGGCTCTCATACTACTGGAAGTGTGGACTGGAGATGCCACACTAATGCGGCGTGGAGTGATTTTTCCAATTATCATGATGCTTGTTCACCCAGGAAAGCGTCGCCAAGGCTCAAGACACTTCTTCAGAAGGTTCTTGTCCAAGTTTCTCATTAAAGGAGCTATGTTGATGCCGTGTGCCATTCCGAATCGAGTCATTTGGAGGTCATATATCAGTAATGGGGATGTTGGCCAATACCAGTTACATCGCTTGTGGGTTTCAGTCATGGAAAGAAACTGGAGAACCTGGAGGAGACCCATGCAGAACAGGGGGAGGACATACAAACGCCAACACAGATAGACGGCCGAGTTGGGAATTGAACCCGGACACTTGTTTCTGCGAGGTGCGACGAGTGTTGCCACTGCCCTGCCACCCTGCGCCACCCAGATTGATTGGGGCCTCGCACTGAGGGCACCGAGCGGAATTTTCACCCTTGGAGCCAGGGGTATATGCTGCACATATTCGGTAATTTAACCATTCTCTGGGAGTGTACACGTTGTGCTGGCTTACATCACCTACTCGGCAGTGATTTTTTTTTATCCAAATTTCCATTGGAAGTTTACCTGCAATTTTGTAAAAAGTGCTCGTGCAATTTTAGACTACTCGGTGACTAGGCATCGTACTCATCACATGTAATCGCTTGTTAAGTGATCAATCCAAATATTTTTTGTTGAAATATCAACAAACTTGTTTACTTAAGTAGGATTCCTCTTACCCACGACTTCTGTCACCTATAGGGTCCATGAGAACTCCTATTATTGGCTGCCCCCGACACCCACATTTACGTGCGATAATTTACAGAACATAAAATTTGCGGACAATAGGATCCGTGACACTCGTCCCCCCCCCGCATCGCCGCAGACGACAGGAGCTCTGTCACCGGCCGGGCTCCTGATGCTACACGTTGCTCAGCACCTCGGCGACGAGCTTCTGCAGCGCGTCAGCGCGCATGCGGCCCGTCTCCAGCACCTCGGCGTGGTTGGCTGTCTTCTCGGTCTCGTAGTCCAAGACGGCCTCGTTGGTGATGAGCGAGATGCCGAGCACGCGGAGGCCACAGTGCTTCGCGATCAGCACCTCGGGCACCGTGCTCATGCCTGCACGCACGCACACACACACGCACGCACACACGCACGCACACACACATGCACGCACACACACACGCACGCACACACACACACACGCACGCCAGCGTCAACACAGACCACGGGAGACGCGGCGGACACCTGACTCACAAGTGGAAGATCAAAGACGCTCTCCTGTGTGCGACAGTGGCTACGCGTGTAACCACGCACTACCCCAAGCGTACACGTCACGGCGGAGGGTGGATGGTGTCCACAATCGAATGGGCGAATCACCTACAACGGAATCTCTTAAGAGTTACCGATGATTAGCCATACAAAGGATGAAGACCGGCGTAAAATCTGTAGCGCTAGTCGACTTTAATGTGAGCAGTGGAGCCAGCTACGCAACCAATACAGGGAGGGGGAGTGCGTGTGTGCGTGTGTGTGGGGGGAGTAATATTGTAGCGGTTAGCGCGCTGCGCTACGAACCCGGCGGCCTGAGTTCGATTCCCCCTTATGGCTAACAACAGTGACGATTATCTGAACCGGTCCTGGATCAGCCCTAGGTAGACTCTGCCTTAAATAAGTACCTGGTTCAGTTGTGTAAACATAGCCACTGAGGCGTCAAAGATCGGACATGGTGCTCACCACCCACTCCATCGTGTGCCGTGCCACCCTTCATAGGTGCTCGCGAACAGCACTTGCCCCAACAGTCTGTTAAAGGCTATAGAGGGGATCTTTGTCTTTGTGAATGTTTGTGTGTTAATGGTGGGTGCTCGCTAACAGCTACAGCAGCCAACGAGCACTTAGGGCAAGTGCCGCTTGTGTGACGAGGACGAATGCGTTTCGCACGCTCGTCAGCAGGTAGGCGCTAGAGAATTTCCTGGTGGCGCGAGAGGGTTTCCAGGTGGCGCTTTTAACGAAAACCAAAAGCGGCCAAAAACTGAACCGGTTATTCGATGCAATGGGGAGGGGCGGGCAACCGGTTGTGGCAAAGCTCACCAGCCAACTAAGTACGACCCCTAACCAACTATCCAACCAGCACCTATCACTCCCATTGACCCTTTTATCAACCCCACCTCCAACAAATATGCCAGGGTCTCTTTTGTCATGTTTGCTTTTGATGCATTCACAATGTCAGCCACGCGAGCGACGAGCGCGCTCACGGCACCTCCGATTAGCACGGTTGGCTACGTACGCTTCGAAAGAAGCTCACAATACAGCACGTACATACACAGAGGCCCAAGCAACGGACACATGCGGCGACGAGCCCCTTACCAACGGCGTCGGCGCCCAGGGTGATCATCATGCGGCACTCGGCGATGGACTCGAAGGCCGGGCCGGTATTCATCACGTAGACGCCCTCGCGCAGGAACTCGCCGAAGCCCAGCGTGGTACCCACCTTCTTCGTCAGCGCGCACAACGAGCGGTCGTACGCGTCGGAGACGCTCGGGAACCGAGGCCCAAACCTGTCGGGATGCGAAGGATCGTGAGTGTCGCCCGGCCTGACATCCAGCCCGCAACTGTACTCCCGCTGCGCTGATCCCTGCACGGTCATCGCCGCGGTGACCTGGCATCGTGACCTGGCATCACGTGACCTGGCATCACGTGACCTGGCATCACGTGACCTGGCATCGTGACCTGGCATCGTGACCTGGCATCGTGACCTGGTATCACGTGACCTGGCATCACGTGACCTGGCATCGTGACCTGGCATCACGTGACCTGGCATCACGTGACCTGGGATCACGTGAGAACGTCACTTGACGTCTGGTGGATGGCATTTGTTAGTTTGCTCACTGCAGAGCGTCTGGCTCCCCGGACTTAAATAAGCACTGGACGGCTCTCCGTTTGCAGTCCTGGGCCAGCGGAGAAAATTCCACACTGCCATGGCAAGAGCCGGTCTCTCTCCCCAACTACTGTTCATATCCTCCCACACGCTGGTACTTAATATAATGACCATGTAAAGATGACGGGCTGAAGCAATCACTGCAGATTGTATCAACCTGGTAACCTGCCCACTCTTCAGTTATCCCATGGGGCAGGAGTGGGGATGCTATGGGACGTTAGTGGATGTTTGCGGGACGTTAGTGGGTGATTGGTGATGTTGGAAGTTGTGACAGGATGCGGTGGGATGTTCTCCTGGCTCTTACTTCTCGATGTTGGGTCCCAGCAGGGGGTTGTTGCCGGCCAGGCCCGGCAGGTTGATGTGGTCGCGAATGATCATGATGTCGCCCACTTTAAATTCCTTGTTGAGGCCACCGGCCGCGTTGGTGACGACCACGGTGTCCACGCCGAGCAGCTTGAACACGCGGATGGGGAACGTCACCTGCAGAGAGAGACGGAGCGAGTGCTCGCAGCCTGTGACGTGTCTGCTGGCGGCTAAGCACGTGACCTGTGATCCAGCACTTGTGGAGTCAGCGAGGGTGGGCGACTCGCCAGGAGAAGGCGGAACAGCAAAGTGCCGGCTAATCTCCATATGACCCTTCTGTGCGTGTTATGACTGCCAGGTTGTCTGTTTTATTATGACGGCCACACAGTTGCAGAGCACAGGTCCAAAGGCCGGTAGGGTCAAGCGGCCACTAAAGTTGCAATCGATAAAGAGATAACACGATTCTTGACTTGAGCAAGGTAATTATGCAGTGTGGGGGATGAAGCACAAAGGATAAGTGTTTGTGACCTGCAGTGTGGTGGCTAAATTATTGGGCTATTGAGTGTGGGTGAGTGCGCTTGGGCAGCGGTGGTATAGCGGTTAACAAGCTGTACTACGAACCTGGCCAACCGAGTTCGATTCCTGCTCATGGTTAACAATATTGACGATTATCTGGACTGGCCTGGGCCTCCCCTATGTTGACTCAGCCTCAAATGAGTACCTGGTGCGGTGTGTAAACATCACCACTAGGGAGACAAAGGCTGACAGGTATGGTGCTGGCCACCCACCCCTTCGTGTGCTGTGCCAGCCTTCATAGGTGCTCCCTAACAATACTTGCCCTAACAGTCTATTAAAAGGCTAAATGGGGGATCTTTGTCTGGGTGAGTGAGTAGTCGAGAGAGTGGTGGAGTAAGTGAGTTAGCTGCTGTGACCTGCAGTGTGGTGGATAAACAATTTGTGGTGGATGAGACAAAACAGTCCATGTCTGGTCGACCGAGTGCTCAACGATTGACGTTTACAGGAAACAGTAACCATGTTAATAGCAGTAGCAGCTGTAGAAGAGTGATAATAAGACGACTGAGCACCAGCGAACGAGTAACCGGAAGTGGATTAGCGAGTGCCAGATCATCGGTCGAGCCGACTGCACGGTGCAGAGCGGAAGCTGGTGGGGGACGGCACCTTGCTCATGGAATATCCCTCGTAGGCGTGGAAGCGCCCCTGCATGCACACGCACGTCTTCCCGCTGAGCTTGCCGAACACGAGGCGTCCCACGTGCCCCTCCACTGCACCGGCAGACACAAAGAGAGCGTGACGAGGTGAGCCCCGCAGGAACGCCGAGTCGATGGAGCTCACGCACACGGGTGGCGAGGGGGGTGGAGTCGTGTGCTCGCAAAGAGATGGATTTTTTTAATTATTATTTATGTTTTTCACGAGAGCTGGACCACGTTTCAGATTCGATTTTACGTTCAGCCAATACCACTGTTGCCCAAACATCGTAATGTAGGACGACAGAGCTTGGGCGATTGTTGGCGTCAATTCTGGCTGCCTTCAAGTGCCACGCCTCCCAGAGCTGCACCTATTACCTGCGGAGGGCAAGTGGCCAATCCACAAATCCATTAGGATGTGAATAGCCAACATCGCTAACGATGACGACGACGATGTGGCATACACGATACACACAACGCACTCTACAGTCCCAACGGGCACCGCACGCGGTGTGGACACCACACGTTGTATCTCGTGTGCCTGCGTGTATGCACCCGCCTGCCCGCCTGTGCATGCGTGCGTGTGCGTACGCACCCGTGCTTTGCGGGAAGTTGGGGATGTCGGAGTAGGGGAAGGACTGCTGGTCCTCCAGCATGTCTGCAAGACCGCCCAGGCCCGAGCCCAGCACCATCCCCACCTTTGGCCGGTGTTTGGTTTTCGAGAGCAGCCAGTCGGCCGTCACCTTGTAGTCCTCGTAGCGGTACCTGATGAGTAACAACAATACGGTCGGCGGGGAGGTACAGCAACAGGTTTGACCAAGCGCAATAATTTGCTCATTTGTCCAGGAAAGCCATTCCGAGTTGCGAGACTCATTTTCAGGAGGGTCCTGCATTGGGTGTTCATTTGAAGATGTATGCAGCCAATAAATGAGCGTTATTACAAGTGGGAGAAAACCCATGCGCGTGAGGGGGGAAACACTCCATCCCCGTGCAGATATAAACAGATGGCGACTGCCTTCTCCTGGTGAGCCAGAGCCATTCTTATCACTGTATCAGGATTGACGACTGTGGTGTATTGATAAGATGTAATATAAGCACATTTCCTGTCATGCATTATTTAACAGATAAGATTAATGCAAGTAAAAGGTTAAAATGCAACCTTTTGTTTCGGTGTTTACTCCGGAATTTCGGTTGCAAAGTCAACAGTGCGAATGGGTGTCAAAGAATGTCCACTCTTCACTGGATTGTGACTGCACGGATTATTTCTGAGACTGTGCCACACAGAAAGGGCAGCTGCACCGCGCCAGCTTATTTCCCTTCTTTCCCCATGAAGTACAGACTGAACAAATGTTAATTACCATAATCAATTTGAATATCAGTGCGATAGGTACGTTTAATTGTGCACGAGCGATTATGCACTTGGCTCACCGACACCGCAGAGTCACGACCGATTCGACATGCGCCACGAACGCGCACAAATAAATAAGATTCTGAATTCCAACCGTGTTTTTTTTCTCGAATCGTGACTAATTCCTGGAATCGTGGGAGGGGTCTGAATTACCGAACGTGCGGAGCTATGGAAGAAGTCAAAGTGGCAGCGTAGCAGCGCGCGAGGCAGCACACTCGTGCGTCCACGGCGTGCTTCGAGGCTTCACCACAAACGGCAAAACTCCCCCGTCGCCACGTGTGGCTCACGGTCACGGAGCAAGGCCGACCAAACCGCCGAATGTGGACTCATGTGTGGCAAGCAGAGCCACGCACGTGTGAGCTCTCAAAGAGACCCACGGCCAGCTCCACCGATATCAGGCGTACGTTTCAGACACACGTTTCAGACACTTTAAAGATGTGGATAGTCACTGATTTTTCATTGATTACATTTTTAATTGATTACATTTTTCATTTACTTCATTAATATTTTTACCTACGTGACTTTACCGAAAATAACAAAGAGTATGAATCCTCGCAGTCACTGAAAGCTTCAAATATAGAACGTCAAGTGGCTCTTGAGCGCTGCGTATCAGCCAGTGAGGACTGTAATTTGTCCACTTATCTGGATAAGATAGACATTGTCGTAATATACCACTGCGCTAAACGACAATACCAGAGCCAGACCAACGAAACATCCTATCCAAGCCGGGATGGCCATGGTACGTTCTTTTGTGTACGTGTCAAACCATGGAATGCTTCCATAAACCCACAATTTCCCAAGCTTCAGATAATCACCCTCAAAGTGACGTTATGAGGATGATATTAAAATGTTTACTGTGAAGTTGCCCAATGTGTGGAACTGCCCATCCGGAGCCTTGCACAACCACACGCACGCATGCACACATTTCTTTCACGCACAAAACTGAATTGAGACTGTTCATATTAAACTTAGTCATGAAATATGCACTTTTAAATGTTTGTTGTTTGTAAAGTAGTGATGAGTTTACGTTCATATCGCTTGTGTTTGCTGTGGCAGACAAATCCTTGCTTGACAATTGTGGTTGTGTTTATGCCAGCAGAGCGACATTCCTATCCGTGCCCCTATTATCTGTGACTCATATTCTCCGAGACCCAAATCTTCCTGCAAAGACTCCTGTTTTTTTTCTTCCATCTTTTAATGTATAAAAGGCAAACCTGGGAGTGGTGACTCAGAAGGGATAAAATTCACCATAATACCCACATTAGATTACCAAAGACCACTTGAATAAGAGAGTTATATCACAAAAGGTGGCCACACAGTGCATGAACTCGCACAAATTACCCATAACACATTCCTGCGGAGGGAGCTGGTAGGAACGTTGGGTTGCTCGGTCAATGGCCAGGGTCAACGGCGGCGTGGTGTATTCCGCAAATATGCCCGACTGTGAGGGCGGGCACAAGCCAGCGTGAGTAGGTTAAACGTTGAGTTTTATAAGGGATTCTGAATATCACATGCATGCGAGTCTACAGCTCCACGGAAGCTCACATCAGGCAGGCGTGGTGTGTCACATGGACTCGTCACCAGAGAATGCCAACTCTACAGGAAGTGCGACGCAGTGATCACGCCACTCCGGGCTCTCTCTCCCTTCTCAGACAAACTTCGCGTGGCTGCATGTGGTCGGCCACTCCGCGATCGCATCCTGCTGCCGGCCCCAACGTGTTCAGGCCGAGTAGTTTACTTTTTAATAAACATGTTTTAACTTCTTCATACGGCTGACGTTGCTGTAGAGCATCAACTATAGCTTTACATTGAGGTGGTTGGGACAGATAGATTGCGTCAGGAGCTGGGGCGGGTGTTGTATCGCTGCTACGATGCCTCCTTCGTATTTGTAAATTGGGCACTGAGCTGTTTCAGCATTTTACTGAACCAAGCGTAATCAAAATAAACGTACTGTAGATCTTCAAAGTACCGTATAAACAGGGAAGTGGTACCAGTGTGTTCCCTACACCGCATGCTATGACCCGAATGACTCGCGATTAATTTCTGGCCATGGCCGAATTGTGTGGCGAGTGATATAAATATCAATACTGGTTCTCGGTCAACTCTACTGACCTGCACTCACCAGAGTCGTGAGGTTTGGTCAAACAAACCTCCAGGACCAGCAAGTCCTGGGATAGACATTCATCCAGTAGTGGGTTACCAATTATAAATTATGACGTAAACGTTTATTATCTGTATTTTATTAAACAGAGCTAGCATCACGTTATCACAGTGATGTAAGCTGTTGCTCTACTCAGTGGGTGTGCTCAAGATATTCGATGCACATTACATTTTGTTTAATTAAATTGGTAGGGTTTTTCGTAGATATAACTTTAGTATATGCCGGTCACACCATCCAAAGTAAAGTCTCAGCATCATGTCGGGTTTCGTCACTTGCAGGGATTTCCGGTGGAATTCTAAAAGTACTGCGTATACTATATCCTTATATGGCAGCTTTGGTCTGGGGAGGAAAGGCTGTGATCACTGGTTTGGGGCAGTTATTTCTCGGTCATGTATAATGATAAGGCCACACCCTGCCATACACGGTTATGCGTGTTATTCATAACCACAGACATTTTTGGTTCCAGCCAGCCAAAAAAAATGTGACCGGACCACCTTGACCACGAGCGTGATGCGACGTGCCTGTTTGCACGGCGGCACGTAAACACAGGCCGATGTCACGGAGGACGTGAGTTGTATCGTCACCGGAGGCGGCAAAGCCACACGTGGCTGCCGAGCCCGTGCTGATACGAAGTCACGAGACGTACAGGAATGGCCATGTTCCATTCCACAGATGTCACACAACCATCCCTCAAACTGGCCGATTTTATTATTTTTTAAATGCATGGTCACCACGACCGTGTTTTTCGTATATTTTTAAGTTAATTGTTCCAACAGAGCATAGGTAGTTGCTCTGAAAAACAGCATGGAAAAAATACGTCACGAAATTAGACGCGGTTTTATCTTCATTGCCTTCTTGCAGATTTGTATAATTGTACGTGGTTGTAGTGACCATATAAGGTGAGCCCGCGTACCGTAAGACAGCCACGAAACCAATCCATTGAATTTGACAAACGCTCTCTTCTGCGGCTTGAACTGTCAGTTAAAAAAAATACCTAAATGACAAAAGGTAAATGCTAAATGACTATTTTTCTAAGGTATAATTCTATGACATTTATGCAAGGAACACATGAACAACAACGTTCACCCAACGTCAGGACAGGGAAATGTGAGTCACAGGGTTATTCAGCTAAAGTTCAGAATTTGTACTTTAAACGTAAAGTGCTTTAATTAAAACATTAATTGTAAATTTCCTACATTGTGAACAAGATTGAGTCCCCAAAGGGACATGGAGTTTTAAAAAGTACAAATATATTTTATTTTAAAAGAATGTCATTTTAATATCCATTAAGAAAAGGTTACATTTCTTTCCATCAATAAATCAGACTTCAATAGAAATATTGAACTCTCAATCCTCGTTTATATAACATATTTGGAGCATATAAAAACATGTCTATCCTGTTATGGAGATTTTATTTCCTGAATGTGAATATGAAAATATATTTTCAGACAGGATGTAAAATAGTAAGAAAAAAAGGCAAGTCCAAACCCGATGCCCTCACTTGTAAGAACAACACGCATAGCATTTTTGACAACCATTATTTGGGGGAAAATGTGTCATGAGCTGTAAAGATTGTGGCCGCATCGTCCCCTGGAGTCTCCAAACAAGCTCCAGGCCAGAGCGACGGAGAGGCCCCTGCTCCCAATACAAGTTCAAGTTCATGTACTAGGTGTAGCCCTGTGAGCCATTCGGCTCTTGAATCGGGTGCAACCGCAACAAAAAACAAAAACATGAAAAAAACCATCTTAAAGTGAATATGTGACTAAGTGCAAACAGAAAATCCAAGGAAAGACAGCAAAATATTGCAGAAAAAAATCACCGTACACCAACGCTGTGTGCAAAAATCCCAGTGGGATGCAAGTCAAACAACCAACAACAACCACAAGACAACTTAGATTAAGGCCATCAGTATAACTTTGTACTACAACAAACAAACATGGCTAAACCAATACACTTTTCGAAATCACCAAAATAAAGCCATGAAAGCAATGACATCGCGGACCTTTTGCGACTTGCAGGACAGAACAAGAGGAGTTTCACCGCAACAAATACCCAACTGCCTTGTGTGCATGACCCTTCTACAACAATGACCACCAGATTAACGGGACGTTTCGTACGTTAGACAAACGAACTCAACTCTTGTCAATGTATTTTTTAGCAACCGTTAAATAGAGCGTGTCCTGCAAATGTGGAGTA